TGATTTCAAAATGGAAGTAATAAATAGGAGAATCGTTTCAAAAATAATGCTGGATCTCGTTCACGGGCCGACTACGGTTAATTTGCAAACGGCAGGATTACATGAGGGGCGAACGGATATTGGGAAGAGAAACATTTGTCTGTTCACAGCTTTCTTTCTATCAAATGCCCACTACCGTTTAGTATTACATGTTTTTTATTGTATTTCTATTTTTATTTTGCTACACATGGTTGATACCACCTTTTACTTTTGAAAGCTGATCCATTTAGTACGGTAAATGACGTTTTAATGTATCCATTTATTTAGTTATTTATCTAATTATTACGATCGTGCTGGTGAGTTAGAACTTGCGTGAGACAAAGCCCATAGTCTATGCTATCTTACCTTGTCCTCCTTTGTCCTTTTTGACAATTTTTGCATGTTTGGAATTCGGCTCAAGGTAGATTCAAGCTGCAATTGTTAGAAAGAAAGCAAAATCTGAAGGACTGGTGAATAAGCTTGTGCACATCCCTACACCCACCTGTGGCAATATGCATTCAGTAATATCACATTTTATGTCCGGTTTAACATATTGTGGTAAGAGTTACGCAGTTTTAGGTACACTAACTCGACACAAAAAGCCAAAAACGCAATGGATCCACCAACTAAATTTACTGCTTCTCTTCTCCTCGAGTAAATGAAGTAATAAAAAAGAAAAAAACCCAAAAGGTTCTGCTTTGAAAAACTTCTCTTAAACCAGGAAGTATATCAGTGCGCTCCTCGCTCAATCAATTTCTTTTTTTTTTTTGCACTTTGAAATGAGCTCTGAATTCATGACTTAAGTATGCGCATCGAACTTTAAATTAAACTGTAATGTCAAAGGAATATTTTTTATCTATCGTCCATTTTAAAAAAAATCTCTGTAACTTCTGAGAAACGCAAGGATTTCGTCCAAAGGTCGCTTAGGGAAAACACAAAACAAGTGGTTGTGGTCACTTAAGAAGTTCTAGTAGTGGTTGCCTAAGAGAGAGTTCGAAGCAATTGTTTACTGAGAGAAACAGAAGAGTTATTTGCGAAGCGGTCCCTCAAGGGAAGGAGTCGCCTGATAGAGTAGCATAACAAAGAGTTAGGGTGATTCCTCAAAAAAGGAATTCTCTGTCTCGAAAATTAAAATGAAAAATATAGGTCACCGTGCTTGTTTAAGAGATATGATGAGCCAATCTTATCCCATTTATGTAAGTAATGGCACTAAGCACGCGCGTCATTTCATCGGTCCAGGTACATTTGCGGTGGCAGAAAGTAAGGATTTTTAACGTAACACTTGAAAAAAAACTTGATAGGAAGAAAGTTTCGAGCGTATGAAACAATTTGATGTAAAACTTGTGCAAAAAATCGCGCAATTTTTGAAGACATCAACTGAATAGGTTCCTCGAGTCGTTGCTTTCAAGGCCAAAATTTGCATCATCGAGTAACGGGTTGCGTGCAAGCGTCTAGCTATCTTTTTTCCGTCATGAATTTCTTGGAATTTTTTCGATTTAAAGGGGATAATTTATTCATCGAAATTGAGCAGTAAAAAAATAAGTCACCGTGGTCGTTGAAGAGCTAAAGGCCATGGTACCTCTTTACCTGGTTCATTGATTAGAAAACAATACCGTGTTCTCGGAACGCACGCGCACTTATTCACCTTATTACGTGATTTTTATGATAGGATCCGCAATGCAAAAGTGAGGAATCACCTTAACCATATTTTGCACTTAATTCTGTCTAAAATCGTACAAGGTTCAAATCCTAAGGTCCTGAGATTCACATTACTATTGTGGACAACAGGCGATTTTCAATTTTTGTATAAAGAAAGGAAACCAGACTCATTTGCATGCTTGCCTATTAAAACTGACCCGTTTTCTTTCTTCAGAAAGAATAGAAAACTTCCTCTCCATCATAGCAGGGTTATCCTTCAAGTCCTTGCTTGCCAGCTACAAAATAGTTAAAAGAGCAATATTCATGCTAAGATAAAATTGAGTCAAGGATAAGCTCACCATATGTATAACTTTTTAGACTTTTTAGACTGTCATCTTAGTAAGTTTGAATGTCAAAATGAATTTTGAGGAACACCACGCGATAGAGGCAAATTTCGAGTGCGAGGCATTATTGGCCGTATCGATCTTCATTTATATGAACTTGATGTGTAGTATCTGACTGACACATTTCGTTCCGCTGAAATTGGAAGAGTTTAGTTACTTAAATTTAGCAATACGAGTAAATTTTTCAGACTCACAAAATTGCACAAGCCCGTGTTTTCGTTGTGTTTCTGTTGTGTTTTCGTTGTGTTTTCTGTGTTTCGTTCGCAACAGTCGGCCGACAGATATTTTGGGGAGCTGTTCTTCTATTTTACCCCTATTTCGAACAGTTCTTGGTGTGTCCCAATGATCTTCGTAACTAATTCGCCGATCGTAGAGCGAGTATTAAAATATTGTTTCGGTAATGTTTAGTGTTGTTTTGATTAAAGGGGGTATGGAAGTTTCTAAAGAGACTGTGTAGGGCTGCGTCGATGAGAGCTATTACAAGATAATTTGGTCTTATGGACTGAGTTGATAATTTAAATTGGCCACCACAAACAGTTTCTGAAGCTGACGTTTCGAGCTTTCGCCCTTTAGTCAGCTTTAGAACTCTTTAGTCTTGTTTTGTTTGTTTTCTTATCAAGACACCGTTCGCTCCAACAAAAATGCTTCCTCCCAACAACACCACAACCAAAATCCATAATTTTCTCTTTTCCACAAGAAAAGCAATCATTATTATGATAACTTGAAATCTACCATCAGAGACTTGGTCTCACGCCGTTGAAATTTCTAATTCTTGACTCGCGTAAACAGGACGTGCAACAAGGTGGTTGGTATTGATCACAAGTCCTGGGGCCTCTTCCTGTGAGCCAGGAACGAGTTCAAGATGTATAAGGTGCTACCTTAGAATAAGTCTCATCCTGGAACCCTTACCAGCTGCAATACTATTGTCGGGCTGACCCACCTTCTGCTATGAAGATATCAAGGTTTTACAAGCGACAGAGGGCGAGGGAAAATATCTGAGAAAGTGAACCAGCCAGATTCACAATAATCAAATCAAGAAGCCCCAATGAGCAAGCAAAGTATCCGTCCATGATACAGATTTCCAGTTTTCGCCAACAGTCGCAAAGCGGACAGAATTTAATTTTTTTTTGGAAAAGAACTTGAGATGCAGTTTCGATATTCACTTTAAGGGTAATGTCGTCTCATGAACTATAAGATTATCATTCTTCTTACAGTTCAATCACTATAAACCTAAAAAATTAAGGAAAGGCATGCCTGACTTAGAGCGAAATCATACTTGTATTATGCGAATAATACAAGCCAAGTTAGCGCAATGTCATGAATACAAGTTCTTATTTTTAGACTTTTCCATGTGATTGCTGGCCAGGGACTCTCACTGAAGAAGTCTCAACTAACATTTCCCTGAGGTGTTTAATTTATCATTACCTGATCACCTTTACCTCCGAGGTCCTTCTCAGGTACGTTGAACATCACTATAAAAATAATTATAGAAAAAACAACCATATTAATAAAAACTATGATGATTCTAAGCACTTGAATATTAAAACGATATTCATTGAATAATTATAATAAGAATGGTAAAAATAATAACAATAACGAACTAGATTCTATTGAAGATATTTAAGTCTCAAAAAATGAACAGATTCGTGAGATTCATACAGAAAGTTACGGCACACACACACATACACACACATACACTCACACAAACGAACACAACTGATGACGTGCACATCATACTAAATGTAAAAATTGAATCATATCATTGTCAAAGCACCCACAAGAAACGACTGTGGCATGTTCTTCCGCGCTTGGCTAGTGTCGGGTTTACACTTTATATTAAATCTTGGTGCATGAAGTCAAGATCGGTCATGAGGGAACTCCGAATCTTTAACAGAACTACCATAGTAACTCGAGATGACCTTGGTTGTGCTTCACTGCGCTCTATGATTAGGCAACTTCTAAACCTTTTATACGACAAAAGGGTGACAGGAACGGGTGAGCGAGACATGTGCTTTACAAAGGGGAAGGTCAAAATAATTTGAAGATGAGCTCACTCCATTAGCGCCAGCCCTCCCCAAGTATTCTCGTTCCAAGAATCCTCGCTCCTTTGACCAGCGGTTGAAAAGAGAGACTCAGTTCAAATCTAAGCAACAATTGCATATGATTCGCATTTCAAAACCTTGGCCCTGGAAGCATACGCACCTATGTAAAAAAACTGCTTTGCTTCCAACACTACACGTTGCTTCCCCTTGGAAGCATACGCACCTACGTAAAGAAATGCTTTGCTTCCAACACTATACGTCACTTCTGCTTGGAAGCATCCGCGCCTAAGTAAAGAAATGCTTTGCTTCCAACACTACACGTCACTTCCACTTGAAAGCATCCACACCTTGGTAAAGAAATGCGCTGCTTCTAACACTATACTTCACTTCCACTTGGAAGCATCCGCACCTAGGTAAAGAAATGCTTTGCTTCCAACACTATACATTCCACTGCTTTGCGCTATTGTACTCAATTTTTCAAGAGCCAAAAGATCCTTTATTTCAAAGGGATCGTTGAGAGTTTAAACGTGGATGTTGCTTATAATTCCTGATGGTTATTGAAGCGCTTGCGGCCCTACGAAACGACTGCTACTGAAACACAGCGGTTTCTCAAACCGGTTCGCTCCGTACGCATATTCAGACGACACGTCATTCCAACACAGTTGTCAAAGTAGAAGCAAAACCTCTGCTGGACAAGGTTAACGAGGCTTCTTGAAACAAGAACGTTCCTCTAAGTATTGACTGATCTCTAAATAACAATAACGTCATACGAACCATTTTGTTTGGGCTCTTCTTGTCTTCCCTCCCCACCAACATTGTATGTTGAGTCGTTAGAAGTAAGACCGGCAACCGCGTTATCCCCTCCAGACGTGAAGCTTGTTTCAGTTTGTGCAGGCTCACCGTATAGACGTCGGGTTCGTCCAGTGTGGGTACGAATCATCTCCTCACCAGACTGACTGTCTTCAAACACAACATCAAACCTTTTTCAATAAAAAAGGAAGAAAAAAAATGAAGCATAGTTCAACTAAGTTCCACATTGAAGGAATGTAAGTAAGAATTACTGCATCGTTCTTGGAAAGAACATGGCCAACTTTCGGGGTTAACCTTACGTGTCTCAATGTTTTTTTGTGACCTGCCAACGGGGGCTGAAAATCAACATTAGGGTAGTTTACCAATGGGTGGCTTTTTATAAGATCTTTTTTTTCGAAGTCTTAGTTTTCAAGGTCTAAATTTTCGAAGTATCAGTTGCCGTCGCCATTGTTCTTGAGATCAAGCTCCTGACAGAGGTAGGGCATAGGTTCAACTCCTGATAGGATCACCGCGATGATTCTTAAAATTGTTATTTTTCATTGCTAATAAACTGTTTGATTTTCCAAAATAACTAATAATAGCGCTGCATCTTTTCAAACAATACGCAACAACGGCGTCTGAAATCAAAATCATCCATGCCGAACACGTACATGATGGTCGCCGGCTTCTCTGTAAATGCACTCACCTTGTTAATAGGTCTGTTTTCTTAACTACCATTCCTGGTGGTGAGGTTTAAGGGCCTGACTCTACAGTGTCTGGACTCTCTTTGGAAACAAGACCTTTAGCCTGGTTCTTCTTGCTTTGGCTGGTCGCAGTGGACAATGTAACGCTAAACAGAGAATTCAGTAAATAGAGAATACATCCTTGTTTCAGTTGTTCACAATATATTTGTTAGCTTATACCACAAACATAATTTAGTTAATTATTAGAGAGGCTTCAGCATCAATTCCATGATGACTGATCTCGCAAATGCAAGTACTACTGATTAAATTATAGTCTTGTGTAATACGAATGCAAAAAGATGACATTACAGACCTTCCACAAACCTACGCTACATCACTATGAAAATCCCTTTAATATTCACTACGCTCACTCTACCTCAATCTATTACGTACAAGCCAGCCTTAGGAGACCAAAGTAAGATCACTGAATACTTTATATATAATTAAAAGATCATTTAGTCGGTGTACATATCATTAATCGTGATTTAAAATTTACTTAACGTTTGTAATAGGCAATGTCCACAAGAAAATTTTTACGTTATTTCATCCTTAGTTCAAACAAGGTATATTCAATCAACTACCTCCAATCAACGATTCACAATCAACGATTCACAATCAACGACCCTTAAACGTCTGCATTAATCAACTACATGAGGAAACTCTACTAAGTCGACAAAATTATGTCATTTGAGTTACCCTTGTTGATTATGTACCTAAGCGTCTATTGGACCGTGATTATTATATCTTGAGTTTCACCGACTTGTGTTTGAATGCTTAAGGTTTGCCTTGTTTGAAATGTACAATATTCAGTCTTGTGAGGGGTGTGGAAAACAAATGACGTTATATAAATTTTCCAGGGCAGATTTACGATCATTAGGGAAAATGTGCAAGAAATCGAGCAATTTGTGTGACTTTCTCGGGTTGTTGTTTAATAGCTATTTAAGAGTAGAGTACTTAAGTTTTGTTCCGTTACTTTACACGACGTGACTCAGTGGCAGCAGCGACAAACTGCTTTATAAAAAAAATCTGGCTAGGTTGACAACGGCTGCCTGACAACCACACACAGCTGAAATAATGGGATTGAGATATTTTGTGAGGTTGTTTTCAGGTATATAACTTTGAAATAACGCTAAACTTAAGACGATTTTGATTTATGTATTAAGTGTTGGTTAAAAGACAAAAAGAAAAAGAAAAAAAAAACATCTCCGCAGAGTCAAAAAAAAAATCGAATCTTGAGGTTTAAAATTAGTGAAACTCAGCTATCACTGTTCTCTCCATTGTGGGTGGTACAGCTGTATTTGCATATTGAGTCATCGCAATGCTCCTTTTCTACGGCATATGGTATTTCGTGGACTGGACTGGACTGGACTNAAATACCATATGCCCTTTTCTACACTACACGTATCAAATGAGTAAACATCAGCACATACCCACTAGTTAATGGATCCTGTTTTCTTGCAAAAGGAGTTGCTACTTTCACTGCACCTGGTAATGGTGTGGTTAGAGCACTGGCATGTGATTGACAGCTTGTCATGTCTGAGCTTGTGTGGTCTCTTGCTAGATATGAGCCAGGGTAAGAAGTCCATTGGTAAACAGCTTGCTGTCGTTTCTTTGAAGGAGTTGACTGTTCCCAAGTCTTTCTTCCAATGAATGGTCTGCTTTTAGTGCTGGGTGTTTGTACATGACTGTGCAAAAAAAAGTAAAACCCAGTCAAAAAATTAATAACTTTTGCCCATATTCGCAATACTAACCCAAGACAGGAAGTGGTTGTTTAGCAAATGTTGGGCCTCTAGCGAAATATTGTTCCGGTCATTACTGATATTACTCAGCGATTATGCAATGCTACCTTTGGGACTTTTCATAATCAGATTAATCCTTTTTGTATTTTTTTCGCTTAAAACTCCAGCAAAACGTTTGTTTCTCCACAAAGTTATAGAGACATTTTTTTAGACTCTATTTCACCTCTGCCTAAAGTTACCATGACTACCCAACGTGGAATATGCGTTCTAGTAAACTTGTGGCCAATAGCCTTTCCGACTTAAACTAGGGAGGAGTAAGACAATTTTTCCGTGATATCACTAAGATTTAGAAGTTTCCTCGTGAAAAACAACCCCGTATAGTATATTAACTTCATCGAGATGTTTCCGTTGACACAGGAGTAAGCATGTGACATATTCCATTAGCGGTCACCACTGTAACGCAGGTGACCAATCACACGTATTGCAATTTTGAGATGTATCAAGAAACTAACCTGTCAGTTTGAGCTTTATGGTTACTGTTAATAGCTAAGAAATACCTTTTATCTTGAAACACAAGTTCCATTGCCTGATCATCCAACAGGTTATTTCTAGAAACTAGTTTTAAAATAGTTCTGAAAATATTCAAAGGAAAGGGCGTTAGTTCACTCGTGTCCCAATAGTTTTATCTTAAGAGACAATGAAATATATGAAGTTCATATATTTTGAACTACGGTATTAGATACGTATGATGCACGATCCTCGCAGTAGATAGAGCTATTAGAGCAATAGCGAAAATCAGACCTGAAAAAAATCAGGCCTGTACGGGATTCGAACCACTGACCTCTGCGATACTAGTGCAGCGCTCTACCAATTGAGCTAACAAGCCAACTGGGAGCAGGCCGTTAAGTTGATTCGTAATAAACCCGTGAAAGTGATAAATCAGATACAATGAAATATATGAAGTTCATATACTTCATATATTTCTCCTCCTATTGTCTAAAGATAATTACGGTTCATAACCCACCAATCAAAATAAAATATATGAACTTCATATATTTCATTGTATCTGATTTATCACTTTCACGGGTTTATTACGAATCAACTTAACGGCCTACTCTCAGTTGGCTTGTTAGCTCAATTGGTAGAGCGCTGCACTAGTATCGCAGAGGTCAGTGGTTCGAATCCCGTACAGGCCTGATTTTTTTCAGGTCTGACTTTCGCTATTGCTTAAATAGCTCTATCTACTGCGAGGATCGTGCATCATACGTAGTTTTATCTTAAGCTAAAATATTGTACTTGACCCATAAGCCAGAATTTTATTACTTTGTCAAACCAGACGCATATCACCTTGAAGCATCACAATCTCCTCTTCTTGTCTAAAGATAATTTCGGTTCATAACCCACCAATCAAAAGCGCAGCTGCAGGGGATAGAGCTATATTGTACTTTATGATTGAGCTCACGGCTGCTTATGAAGATACTGTGTGGAGCTTTTATGAACAAAGGAAAATTTGAGTTATAGTCAGTGCCAGAAAGCACTTTGTAAGTTTTGGTAGTGTGGTTCATCTGAAGAAAGGCAGAGACAACTTTTTCTACAAATTTCGATCAAAATTATGTTGAGGGATTAGTAAGCAGTAAATGTCTGAACAACTCTGTTGTAATTAACACTTAAGGGAAGTTGAGGAAAATGTTAATGAATGCAAAGTTACAATCTACTTTGGATAAACTAACGGTGTCATTCATTTGAGAGAAAAAACGTTATTTTCTCCTCGTATTTTATCTGGTTTTAAGTTCTCTTTCACATATTGTTTCCTCTTGGCCAGCAAATTTAGTAGAAGTATAGAGATACTGGATCATAACTAAACACCTATGATTTTGCATTAGTGTTTACTTTCAATTGAGCTTTCTTTCGTTTGTAATGCACTAGTCAGTTGGTTTCCCACCACCCCTGAAGGGAAAACTCAATACCCCTTATCGCATTTACGCCCACTGTACGAGAGCTCAGCGGACTTTGAAGTTTCGAAACGAGGCTACCGGGTCACACAGGTAAAACCTTCAAGTAAAATCGAAGCAAACGGCTACGTTTGGAGGTATTTTTATTCATTTTCTTAAGGATACAGCGTGTTCTCGTCATGGTTAGACATTGTATTGCGTACGGGTGCAACATTCTATTCAGAGAATCGGCAACTGACGAGATCCTCAAGATTAGGATCGAAACCGCGGTCTTGCCAAACACGTTTAACTATCAAACTAGAGGCGAACAAAACGCACATAAAAACCCTCTCAAATAAAGAACTTACAAACGACCAGATTAATTTACTGGCAAAAGGGCTTAAATTCATTCCAACACCCGCTACAAAACAAAAACAGATCAGACAACAACTATTGTGTGACTTTGATCAGTTCGCAAGGAGAATGCGTCTGATTTACATAGGGGAGGACAAAAAAACCCATCCCTGCCACGTGAAATCTACATGGATACCACCAATACAAAAATCAGTAGCCCTTGAAAGCTATTTAGAAGAGGTTAAAAGTGACCTTTCAGAAATAGAAATTACAAAGCCAAAAGATAATTTGCTTCCGGCCGAACGCAAGGCGCTGAGGGCCCTGAAACGTGACTCTGAGTTAAACCTCAAAAAGGCCGACAAAGGAACAACAACCGTAGTCATGAACAAACACGACAAAATTTTTCCGTTCCTTTCCGAAATGACAGCCATTCTTTCAATCATCCTTTCGTGATGCCAGGACAATTACCACTAAGAATTTCAACCTTTTCCTCGGCAGAAAAAACCGCAGATTCCAGAGTTATGTGGTCAGACATGGAGTGTTTCTGGTGTTTCTCGAGAAACGTTGACCCGATAGCCTCGTTCTGAAACTGTAACTCCGCGGACCCTTTGCATTGCAGACAACAATTACTTATCGCTTGGGTGGGCATGGCAGAGGAACCTACAGACTAGTGCTTAGGTCGCATAAACAAATTGCTTTGGCCATTTTCTATATAACTGGACTTAAGACACGCGTTTTTTCATCCAAATAAATCCTTTTAGCTGAGGGAGGCAGTTTGTTGTTTCTTTACTTCCTGAAATATAAAAATGGTTGGCTCTCTAGAACTATCTTGGTTATACAAACATGTTATAACAAACCAACCGCTCAACATAGCTACTTGAGGCTGAGTGCAAATCCAGTAAACACATTTACGTTTGCTATTTTATTTAACAAATAGGCCTTATTCATGTTTTATTGTTTCCATCTGAATACCTAGTTTCACCTCCTAGCCTCATGCCAGACTGGTGCATTTTAAAACGAAAGTATTCCCCGAACACCAGAATCAAATGAATACCTACATGACAACTATTGAAAGAGGCAAAGTTTCATGAAAATTTCAGTCCACACAAAGCTTGGGGTTGAATTTTCAGTAAACGACATCATTATCCATAAGAGCTTTTCATTGAATCTCAAAGGAGAAGTATCATTACTGTCACATCCATTGTGGAAGCCATGAAGTTTTAACTGTGTGGCGTCTTGTGAGAGATATGATACTAAAGTGATAATACTCAATTTATAGCATCACAAGATTGAAAAGGAAAAGGATTTAGAAGGATTTAGTGCAAAGTATAATCCAACTTGGCTTACTCTCTGAGGCTTTCCATTTCACATTGGGACAATTCCAGTTTATCTCGCATTGCTTTGGAAGCACCCTATAAAACAGACATGTATAATAGAGGCTGTTATCCTCTCAAAACATACATTAGATATGTTTGTGTGACTGGAAGAGAAATTGCTGTCTGCATGGCAACTGCAAGGTTTAACAACTAGATACTAGAGTTGGTCCAGAACGTAGAAATACTCACTCTAGCTTCTTGGTAATCTCTGGCTAAAACATCATACTCCACCAACATCTGTTTAAAAAGTCCAATGATCACACATTGCCAAGTTAAGTAAAAAGCACACACAATCCATGCCGGTATAACCAATAGACAAACAGACAGAGAGTCAGAGACATAGACAACAGACAGACAAACAAAAAAAAGCTAGATAGACTGACAGAAAGTTAAATAGAGTCAGAAAGACAGCAAGCTAAACATATCAGGTCAGAGACAGCTAGATAGACAGACATAGAGACAGATAGACAGTCATACTTCTAGAAAGGTTGAAACAGAAATACATACAGACAAAAAACAAACATACAAATAAAGAGACAGTAAAGCAGACAGATAGAAAGGCAGAGATGTAAACAGACAGAAAAACAGATAAATAAAGAGACAGACACAGAAAAAAAAGACAGAAGGTCAAACAGATAAAAAGGCATGTAGACAGAGAGACAGATTGATAGACAGGGGAGATAGAAAAACTGAAATAGACAGACCAATAGACTGAAGGATATAGAAAGACAGACAGACAGATAGGCAGATAAATAGGCAGACAGGTAGAAAGAGAAACAGACAGAGAGACACACTGGCAGACAGACACATGTATAACTTAAAGGACTGACAGAGGAGAAAAACTCAGATAGTCTGGACATCTAGACAGAAGAAGAGATAAAAACAGACAGACAGACAGACACACAAATAGATAACCAGACAAAATGTACAGATGGACAGGTGGTCAGACAGAAAGACAGAGATAGGTAAGCACACAGACAGATAGATAAACAGCTAGACAGCTGGAAAAACAGACAGAAAAGTGGACAGACAGACAGACAGACTGTGAGTGATAGACTGAAGACACAGAAACACAGGCAAATACAGAGACCAATAGACCTACACAGACAAACAAACAAAAAGACAGACAGCTAGGTACACAGACAGAAAGATACACAGACATTAAGGTAGAGACAAATAGACCACCCTTCAGGAGCATTCGCTAAATGCTTCGGAGTATCTAGGCCCTTCCAGTTCACCTTCAAAAAAAATTGCTCACCCTTTGAAGGAGGTCCTTGTCTTTTTTACTGCTTGCTTCAGATTCCATCTTTTCCTATAAAGACAGTGTAAATTGTTTAGTACTTACATTGAATTTGCTGAACGTTCAAAACTGTTGGTAGCAGCAACTTATTTTGTTCCTAATTATTGCTAATTCTGAAGTCTTGAACTTGCAGAGAAGGTTCTAAGAGAAGAGTAAATGGGGGCAATACATAAGCTGTGCAGCTTTTTTAAGAGAGAATAGCCATCACTTTCTCCCCACTGGGTATAGCTGAGAGGGGCATCAATATCAACCATCTGTATTCCCTACATTAACCAAGCACTAAAAAGGAGAAGCAATGCAGTTTTCCAATTAATTGAAAGGTATAATTGGACAATTTCAGTTACTCAAAATCTTAACATTTTTGGAGGCTAAAAATTCTTACTAGAAAAGTATCACCACAAACTCTCATTCATACATCTCCTCTTCACAAGCATTTGGAAAGTCATTAAGATCCAGAATTATCTGAACCAGAACTACAATCTTTAACTTGAGCAATAGGCCATTTTACAGTTGTGTACTTAGTTCCCAAGCCTTTGATTCAGAGTGAGGCTAAAGATGACCTTGTTGTGATAGAGACCTGTATCTACTTAGCACGATAACAAAGTGATTTACATTTGACAGGCAGCAAGGTTTGTATCATAACAAGGTCATCTCTAGCCTCACTCCCATTCAAAGGCTTGGCAACCAAGCACACAACTGTAAAATGGACTATTAGATGTTTTCCATTGGAAAGACTTGACACTTCCAGTTCAAATCGCCCACCCCAGCCGGGCAAGGTTCAAATTCCCCACCCGGACTCAGGTGACGGTCAAATGCTCATGTGAAGGGGAGATCTTGAAACTTCGAATTTACTGGCGCATAATCACAAACCACCTTAATTCCCTGTCCCATAATTCCCCTTGTCAAGCTTAACTTTCTAGGTTAAGTGGGCCCCTACCTGTCACCTGATGTGCACTTCATGTAAAAAGTTTGATGATGTTACAGTGGAAAGTTATTCTTTTTTTTTCGAACCTATCAGAGTGCAAAATGATCCCAAATACCTTGATAGCTTTTTCCACAAACAGTGACAGTTCTTTCATTTCATTTTCCAGCCTATTAATCAACTCATCCTTTGCAGTGCACATTGACTTAAGATCATCATATTTCTGTTTGACTTGCATGTTCAACTTCTGTACTGATTCCAGCTTCATAGTAAGGGTTTCCTAGTAAAAAATAAAAAAATTCAAAGTGGCATGTGGTAAAAATGTTTTATTTTCTCATTTTCAAGTTCAAAGTTAAAAACTAACTTCTGCCACAGAAATATTTCGATATAAATAACACAAGATTATCAATTATTGCCATATCCTCTCATAAATTGGCTGGTGCATACCCTGATTGAAAGAACACAGTTCACCAGAAATGTTTTCTTTTATCTACTAATACATTTCTCTTTCCAGCTAGAGAGATCTATCATGGCTGGTTTCTAATCTATTGAGCTAGGGGAAGATTTTATGTTTTGTATCTCTGAATGGCCACTGAAACCACGTAAAGTACTGTATTCTCTACCATGCATGCCTGCATGCCTGCATTCCTGCATGTATTTAACTGATTTTCTAGCTGCTCTCTTTCTTGAGCATTTTGGATTCCCTTAGTTTTCCAGCCAATGTGCATCTAAGAAAAGTTTATCCAAGAAAGGTTAACATAACATAACATTTATTCACAGGAAGCTACAACGCAAATGTAAAAAATACATCCTGCAAAGGGAAAAATCGTGAGGTTAGCCCTGTGTAAAAACAAACAATTATTGCACACAATTTGAACCACCACCATCAAGTCTTGATGAATGACACATCAAGACTTGATCACCTCAAACTCAGTTAGACCTAATAATTTGGATATATCACCAAAGTTGAAATGGTAAACTGGCCACCATAACAATTACAAAAGCTGATGTTTCGAGCGTTAGCCCTTCGTCGGAGCAAATAGAGGAATTGTGGGTTGTGTGAGCTTTTAAAGGCAGAAAATGGAGCTACGTTATTGGTGGGAACATGGTAACGAGAAAAGCACGAATAAATTAGTGGAATGAAAAGCGTTCGTTGATACCTGTGGAATTTAGACTGCCAGTTTGAAAGATGAGCTTTTTTTCAAGAGTTTTACGGCTTTCCGTGCTACCTAAGTGTAAGGAAAGATCGCAGATTGCCATATGTTGCTTAGAATGATTAGGTATATCAAAATGTCTAGCGACTGGTTTTGATGTGTCCATGTCATTCCTTTCCACGTTGCGAAGGTGTTCTCGGAATCGGTCACCTAGTCTTCTGCCTGTTTCGCCGATGTACATCTTTTTGCAATAAGTGCAAGTTATGCAATGTATAACATTGGCGGAGGTGCACGTGAAGTGATCGGTGATTTTAATGGATCGTTTGAGTCCCGATATTTTCTCAGTGTTGAGCTCATCTTTCAAACCGGCAGTCTAAATCCCACAGGTATCAACAAATGCTTTTCATTCCACTAATTTATTCGTGTTTTTCTCGTTGCCATGTTTCCACCAATAACGTAGCTCCATTTTCTGCCTTTAAAAGTACACACATCCCACAATTCCTCTATTTGCTTCGACAAAGGGCTAACGCTCGAAACGTCAGCTTTTGTAATCGTTACGGTGGCCAATTTACCTTTTCAACTTTGTTGATATATCCAGATTATTTTGCTACCCCCACTGACGAAGCCCCAAACAGTTTTTTTATAAACTATCAGCCTTTATTCAGTTAGACCTACTTCCTTTTCCCACCATATGTATATTGCTCAATTTCCATATCCACATCCCCCATTTTCCTCCCTACAGTTTTAAATGTCTAGTGTTTTTGACACCTTTGACTTCCTTTGCATAATTATTCAATAAATTCATTCAAAGGCAAGGTATTGTCTATACACTGTACTGAGGTGTTCTGATGAATCACCTGACCATTTAGAGGGGTAAAATTTTCTAGTCTTAGGAATTAAATGTGAATTGAAAGAGCTTGAATGTGTTCTTTATCTTAGGGTTCAAGTAAAAAATAAGGGCGTCTGAGGCCTTGAAAAATGTCAATCAAATCACAATATTCATTGTACCTTTTCTCTTTTTGATGTCACAATTGTCTCTTCAAAATCTCCAAGTTTTCTATGGGTTAAACAAAATAAATAAGATTGGAAATTTTACTTCTTTTAATGCTATTAATCTTCATCTATAACAATTTATCCATTTAACACTATTACAGGTGACTTAAAAGTTAAAAAGAGATATGTACTAGTAACTAGTGCTATCCTGTACTAATTTCTATCTAGAAGAAAAGTTTCACACCTTTTGCATTCCTCAAGAGCTTTTTGATACTGCCCAATTTGCACCTCCAACTTTTGATTATCAGTCACACAAGATTTGTATCTCGACTCCAAAAGTGCCTTTGAGTCTTCAATTGCCTGATTTTTATTTGAAGTCTTCTGGTTTATTTCTTCAAGGTGACGGCATGCCGATATTGCCTTTTCATTACACTTAGCAAGTTCTGTAACCTTCGTCTCAAGATCTCCAATATTCTCACGCAGCTGAGATTTCTCACTTTCACTTGACTTGTTGACTTCTTCCAGATACAAACAGCGCACTTCAAAATTTTGGTTTATTTGCCTCAGTTGTCCACAGCTACTGTCAAGATCATGGTTTGCCTGTTCCAATCTTATTGACTTGTTATTCATTTGCTCACACGTTTTTTCTAAAACATTGCACCTGGCCTGTAGTTTGTGGTTTGCAGCTTCAAGCATTTTGACAGGCAGTGCATGGTGAAGAGTTTTCAAGTTGTCTCCTACTTCATTAAGTTGTTCACAAATCTTGTCTATTTCTGCTTCAAAATGGCTTGTTATATCTTTCAGCTGCCGAGTGTGTTTTTCGGTATCATCACCTTGGTGACCACTGTGAAAAAAACATTTACATTACTTAGCATAATTATCACTGAAAATCCAATTCTCTTTGGATAACTTGCATCCTTGCTACCTTGAACCATTCCCTAACTTTGTCTACAGTCTAAGCCTCCTGAATTTCTTCCACAATTTTCAGAGCTTGTGCCTACCAAGAAATTGCTGGGTCAAAAATGTTTTCTAAGTATTGAAAACCAGGCAATTTTAAACAATGCACAAGCTCAGAGAATTTGTCTGCTAAAAAACCCAAAATAATTTTGGAATTGCGTGATATTTTTAATAAAACATCTAAAACTCCAAAAAAGTTTTTAAGAACCTTTTGTACAATTTACAGGAAAATTTCTGACTGTCAGGCAGTCAAGACCATGCCTTGCTGCTTGGCATTTAGAAACTGCGTACTTTTTAATTGCCAATATTAAGATCATGTAGTTTCTTGAGAATACTTTTCCCTTTCCGGTCAAAGATTTGTTAAATAATGGTAATTGAACTGAGTGGAGTGCAATTTGGGCTGAAGTCATACGCGTGATTTCAAAATCGAACGAGCACCCAGCACGAGTTCGATTTGAAATCACAAGCATGATTTCAGACCAAAATTGCATGAAACAAGGTTCAATTACCACTTTATGACATCCATTTTGAAATCGCCCGAATACAGGACTTGGTCAATTCAAATATTTTACTGATGCAGTACTGAGCCAGTTTTTAAATAAAAAGCGGAGCCGGAAAGGCTTTTACATCTTCTTTTGTTTGCAAAGCAGAAAGACTTTGACGTCATCTGTCAAAAACTCAGTCAAGTGTAAAATGATGTGATTTAGAGCAAAAAATGATGCGACTTGAGAATAAATCACACCATTAGAGCCAATCAGATTACAGGGACCACCTGTGATTTCAAAATGGTTGTAATAAAGAGAGGTATGGTACAAACGTACACAACGATGTAACAAGGCAAATTCCTTCTTACCTCATTAGTAGGGGAGAGGATTTCCATCCTAAACCACCATTGTAAGACTGTATGGATGGGAATGCTTTGCTGCCAGCTGATGAAGTATCATTGTGAATTTCAGGACTTGATGAGCCCGTGATACCACTCGGATTTTTCAAACTGTTTATAATCTCATCTAAAGTATTTTCTGTTCGATCCGTGTGTAGTCTTTGTTGAAATTTTTTAATTGTTTGCCGATGCGTGCCATCATTTGTTTGGCTGGCAGCCTTCCTTTGAACTCCGACCTCTTCACCTTGACCGAAATGACCTCCTGGCAGAACTGTTTCATCATAAAGAGGTTCTCTTCCAGTCATCCCTGCCACATATCTGCCATCATCAGAAGAAGACTGCAAAGATACTACAGATCCACTACCATCAGAGTCTTGTTGCCGAATTGGCTGTTCTTTGGTCATCTCAACATCCGAACGATTCATGCGACTGAAGCCAAACAGTTTGGAGTAAATGTCATCACGGCGAGGACGTACCGGTTACAAGTCGCAACATTTCATGATTCTTGAAAGACGAAGAAACTCTTAGGGTCGTAAGCAATTGTGACGTAGAAATTTGCGTCAGATAGGGCTGCGTAGTTAATTAATCGTTAAACGTTCGATTTCTTGCTGCACGAGATACATTTGGTGAAGTATCATCGCGCCTGACCGAACTGTTACAGTTCTGATGTTATATCGTTCTTAGTTACACTGCAAACCAAAATCTGTAAAACCATCCTACCTGTTCTAGGAGGCCTTCTGTTTGCAATGTCACGTTCTTTCCATTATCCAAAACAGAAGGGACTTTTCATCAAACAATCATAACATACCGCTTTATACCAGAGATGCGCATGCTAGCTAAGGAAACATTTATAGCAACTGACCGATTAAATTTCCCGCTGATTCTCCCGTGACATCCCAAACTGTCTCCCAAACACGGTTGTTTAAGGAATTTTTGTCTCTATTCCCGCTATGATAGTATTTAAAAAGTGAAAAATGTTTTGTTTAGCCACTCGAACATGGAATGGTCTATCCAGAATCGCTTTACAAATATCAGTAGAGGGTGGACTTTTTATGAAGGCTCCTAAGATAAGGTTGCTTCCCGCTTTAAATTTGGTTCGTTTATATCACAGAATATATCTCAGCGAAGATGACTTAGAAGAAAATTTCATCAAGGGTTGGGGACCAGGAGGTCAGAAGGTCAACAAAAGTAGTAACTGTGTTCAACTTCTCCACAAACCCACTGGTATCATAGTAAAGGTAAGCGTGTAGTTTTTGACTGATGGTTGTGGCAAGTTAATTACTTTGATCCCTTGTGGGGAATTGAATGACGCTTGCTCATTCACCCACTCCTTTCTGATTTATTCACCCACTGAACCAGGATAAGATACACCTCTTTCCCTCACTAATTATGAATCATACCCCATAGTCTTGTGTGCACCTGCGAGTCTCGTGTGCACATGTTTGGCATGGTTTTGGGATACCAGAGAACAAAGAATGCAAAAGATAGCCTAGCATAGGCGTTGCTTGTATTACTGAGCTGGACCAGTATTTGGAACTGGATGCCCATCAATGCCCATAATGTTTGACGCTGGTCAGTTTTTATTTCTCATCAGACTTAGTTTTATGGGCAGCTATAAAATTGTTATAAGTTTTGCTCTGTTAGTCATCATAGTAAAAACTTAAGGACTCAATTGTAACGCATTGTGGAAAAAAATGCGCTGTGAAGGCCCATATTTGGTAAAAAGAGCTGAACCGAATTTTTTTCACAAACCTGCGTGTGAATCCCATAGCAAAAACAGCTCAGCCGGTAGAGCATTGCACTGATGTGACAGAGGTCATGGGTACAGGCCTGATTTTTTTCAGGCATTATTTTCAGTACTGTTTAGTAAAGATCACTCTCATCTTCATTCTTTTTAATCCTCAGTTCACATATATGATATTCATACAATCGCAGTTGTTTATTATGTTTATAAAAATGTAATAAATAAAAAAAAAACTTTGAAGTGTTGGTAACATGATTAACAATAACATGATTTTAATTTATCAGTTAGGGAAGGTAAGAACATGATTTCAACAACAACAACTTTAATATTTATATTGCCCAAAATACATGCAAAATATGATCAAATTTATGTGCATTTCGATTACTGTGCACAAGTAAATTTTTCAAAGGCCACAAAATTGCATGAGCTTATAAGGCGAGTTGAATTTTTAGTCTGTGCACTCGTTTTGCACTCATTTTGCACTTGTTTTACATGAAAGATGCACTTGTTATAAGCAACTACAAGCACATAATATTGTCATATACATTAAAAAGACTGTTATTCCCAAACTCAAAATGCTAATCATAACAGTTTAAGGAATTTGAATATATGAAAATCATATATGTGTGCTACACCGGCTTTTAATGAAATGTATGAAAGCGATCCTGGTAGTACTAAACCCTACTTATGTAGTAGTGGAAATATTGTAGTGTATGCCGGGATATAAGGAAGACTATTACAGGATAGGAATGAAGAAGAAGAGAGTATGGAGTCGGAGAATTAAGGACCGTGGTGTAATCCGGTTTAATCCATTGTTTGGATACGCATATTAAAACTCTACAATTGGTGACGAGGATAAACAGGAAATTTTTAGACATATGCAGAACAAATATGGCCGTGAACATCGAATTTGGAAATATACAACCTTTCGATTGCACAGGCCATCCGACAAGCGTGGGACCTCGTTGGAGACAATGGAAACGTTTTTTTGAGTTTTTTCTGGAGGCAAAGGGTATCACAAAAGACACACAAAAACAAGCCTTACTTTTGTATTGCGCTGGACAGGATGTTCAGGACATTTTTTGTTACGCTGAGTGACTCTGGACCAACCCCAGAAGAAGAAACGCAGTATGCGAAAGCTATGAGACTACTGGACGCACATTTTTTGCCACAGGTTAACATCCCATTTGAACGACATCAGTTCCGTCAAGCAAAACAGGAAGAATCCGAGACAACAGACCAGTTTATATCTCAACAGGAGACTAGGACAAAGCCCCACCACATTATAAACAGGTCAGAAATGAACTCTCTTCCCTTGGAAAGTTAGTATTAAGGGAAACGAGGTTGCTAATTCCACGAAGACTACATGAAAGAGTATTAGACTTAGCACACGAGGGTCATCAGGGGCTGGTAAAAACCAAACAGAGACTTCATACAAAGGTTTGGTGGGCTGGAATTGATAAACAAGTGGAAAACCGGTGTAAGACCTGCCATGGCTGCCAACTTGTTGGACTGCCTACACCACCAGAGCCCATACAACATACAGAGTTTCCAAGTCAACCCTGGATTGACCTAGCTGCAGACTTAATGGGACCCCTACCGTTGGGGGAATATGTACTGGTCGTGGTTGATTATTACAGCCGATATTTCGAAGTAGACATTCTGATGTCTGTGACATCCACTAAAGTCATTGAGAATTTGGATGAGATTTTCTGTACCCATGGGTTACCACAGTCATTGAAAACTGACAACGGTTCACAGTTTGTGTCCGATGAATTTGAACGTTTCCTGGAAGCAAATGATATAGAACACGGCACCTTGACCCCCCTATGGCCTTAAGCAAATGGGGAGGTTGAAAGACAGAACAGAAGCTTCCTTAAAGCCCTTAAGATTGCTAAAGCTGAAAAAAAGAATATCTGGACCGAGATGCGAAAGTTCTTAACAGGCTATAGAACTACACCTCACACCAGTACAGGGGTCACACCCGCCAAACTCCTGTTCAACAGGGAAATCAGATCAAAGATTCCTGAACTGGGAAACTCGAGGTACTCTGACAGTGAGGCCAGAGACAAGGATGCAGAGATGAAGCAGGAGAGAACCGACTATGCTGATGGGAAAAGGAGAGCTCGAGAGAGCGAACTAGAACCTGGTGATTTAGTACTCCTAAAACAAAAGAAAGAGAACAAACTCTCGACTAGTTATGGCCCACTCCCATATACCATCAGCAAGAAGCACGGTAACAAGGTCATCATATCGTCACCCAAAGAAGTAAACATGAGGAGAAACGTGGCCAATGTTAAGAAATACTTGAGAGAGGATACAACCGCAGATGAAGAAGTTGCTGAAGATGACTCTTCCGAGCCACCGCAGTACTTAAAAGATTACAAAGTGTATGAACTCTGTTCGGTGGAAGAGTGAGACTTCGTTGAACGTTTGTTGAACATTTTAATTAGTTTACTGAACACTTTAATCCGGCTCGTGTTGGAGACATTTTGACCTGTTCATGTTGTTTCGTTATGTTGAGTCTTCTCCTTAGGAGAAGAGGAGTGAGCGAGACTTTGTTGAACATTTATTGAACATTTTAATTAGTGTACTGAACACTTTAATCCGGCTCATGTTAGAGACGTTTTGACCCGTTCATGTTGTTTCGTTATGTTAAGTCTTCTCCTTAGGAGAAGAGGGGTTGTAGTGTATGCCGGGAAATAAGAAAGACTATTATAGGATAGGAACGAAGAAGAAGAGAGTATGGAGTTGGAGAATTAAGGACCGTGGTGTAATCCGGTTTAATCCGTTGTTTGGATACGCATATTAAAACTCTACAAATATGGCCTGAAAAAAATTCTGGCCCCTACAGGGTTTGAACCCATGACCTCTGTGATACCTACCTAACTAGGGTTTATTACTGGGAGGATCCCATTCATACATTTCATAACAGTTTGTCAGTAATATTGTTAAAGGAGAGTGAAATGTAAAATTATGTAAAGGATAAATAACCAAAACTCTTTCAGTTAAACATTAAACCCCTCAAGAGTACTCTCTGAAAGATTACCAAAATGTTATCACTTGGAGCTCAAAACATACTGGAAGGTGTTGTCAAAGAAAATACCCTTATTGTTTGAAACAAGGTTATTTCTAAAGTAGTGCATACTAAGTTAAAAAAAAATTAATGCACAATTTAATTGATAGTATGATTGTGCCTATACTTATTATCTGTAGGCTAGGCTAACTCTAATTAAATCCAGATACATCATTAAGAAAATTCCCTTGAAATGTGTTTGTGGTCAGTTTCAAGGGAACTTAAGTATAGTTAGAAGCCTAAAACAAACGAAAATAGCATATTTGTGCACTGAAAAGTGTCTCTTATTATAATGATTTGATTTAGCTTTTGAAATGTCAAGGAAGGATGCTCATACTTATCAAGGTGCTTATTAGGGATAGGGCTTATTTCTTTTTGAGAAACAGCAGATTATGAGAAAAAAAAGCTATGATGTATAATTGAAAAGGATCAAGAAAACTGGAAAGTGGACCTGTTGTCTCTGGATCCTTCCTGGCTAAAATGACTAGGCAAGCAAATTATAGTCACAAAATTTTAAGACAAGATCATTGGTTTGAAGGAACTATGCACTCATATGGGGATAGTAGTGCGGAGTCTATGGTCTAGACTACTGTTTCTGTAATGAGGCTGTAAATGAAAAATTAAAGGAAGATGGGCCAGAGTTGATCTCAAAGTACATGACTGTACTCTTACTGTCAGTGCCATCACTGAAACAGAAAAGGGGCCCTTATTGAAATTGGGGTACTTACTGGAACAAGAGTGTTCACTCAATAAAGGCTGATAGGGTGAGACAAGGGTGAGACAGATACTGCTATGGAAACGGAACCAGGCTGCCCAACCAACACAGCGAGAAGTACAGGGTACCAGTAAAGCCACCAAAAGCCTGTGGGCACAGTGGAATCAATTACTGTTGGAAAATGGCGTGCTCTACCGCCAGTGGCAGACCGAAGATGATCAGGGTACCTGGTTGCAGCTTGTGCTTCCTCGCTCGTTAGTACCAGATATCCTTTCAACTCTCCATGATGCCCCATCAGCTGGACACCTTGGTGTGACCAAAACTGTTGAACGAGTACGAGAACAAGTGCGCTAGGAGGAAGTCCCCTCAGGCTACAGCCCGTGCACTATTAGTTAGCAACTGCCCTGGTTATCCGTTTGAAAGAATGCCACTGGACATCATGGGACCAATGCCAACGACTGAGTCTGGTAACAAGTACATCCTGGTGGTTGGAGATTATTTCACCAAATGGAAAGAGGCGTTTGCTATCCAAAACCAAGAAGCAGCCGATGTGGAGGTCGCAGTACCAGAACATCCTGAACTACCCCAGGAGCCGGATGCTGCAGTAAATGGCCAACCAGTACATACAGACAGACCTAAACGCGTAATTAGACCGCCAACATGGATGAGAGACTTTGTATCTTGATCAGTAGTTTTCTAACTCTATTCATTTCAGCAATTAGCAAAAGACATGCTTTTGATCGGAAAACGCTAGTTTTGTTACAATCTAGTCAGTTATATTTCTCTTTAGGCCAGGCATGGGGACATGCCTTTTCAAGGGGGGGGGGGGAATAGTGTTGTAAAGTTAAGCATAGCGTGACAAAGCGTGACAAACAATTCTGAAGTAAGCTTTGATTACATCATTACAACCGGAAATATGATTTATCTGTAACCCTTTGTTAGAGTATTCGTGAAAATATTCCTACTACGTGTCGCATAGAATATGGAAACTTGTACGTGTTTTCTGTCTAAAAACACGTAGGAACACTAGTTCTGCAGGATCCACGAAAGTGTCCTCCCATATCTGTGAAATTGCGGATACGTGGTAATTAAGTTGTTTATTCCAAGGGAAACTCGTATTATCTTCTGTATTTTGTATCACGTATGATTTAGCTACCAATATGTATATAAGAACCTTGATTCAAGCAATAAAGGAGATTCAGTTGATTGTAAAGCAGTTGAGTGTTCTGCACCCCGTGTGCGAGCTCGCGTTGAACCCAATGTTTGCCTAAGCATCGAAACAGCTCGACGCTAACCAACCCTCAGCCGAAATTATACTACACTAGTGAGGCTGATTTCTATTGTTTTCTTCTGATCTGTAGAGCAGACATTTTTCCTTACAGCTTCGCTGCTGTTTTCAGTGCTGAATTCTCGTTTTCATCGAACGATATTACAGTTTAATAATGACCTGGCAAATGCTGTTTTCTCCCGCGGTCTTGTTTGTTACGCGCATGGACCAATTTTGTTATTGTGTAGTTTCCAAGATGGCGGTGTTTTCATTGAGCGATCCTTCGAAGCTCTTCGGGGTTCCTTCGGTCCACTAAATTTCCTTTCAAAACGTTATTTAAATGAATGAAGATTTAATTTTCAAAGCCATTTATAAAATATGGTAAATGACTTTTCCAGTAAATCGAAGTGCTCGAATCAACATGCGACTAGCGACAGCGCGTCACTCAAGCCGAAAATGGTCTGGGACCGAAATAAAAGAAAGCGTCCAAGTAGAAGATGATAGTTTTGGTGATTATGTATAGATTTAGCCAAGCGTAAAAGCAGAGCTCCCAATAGGTGAAAATTTTGCAATAAAATTTCTTTTCATATATTAGAAATTTTTAGCCAAAAATTCATTCAGTATAGATTAAACCCATTGACACATGTGTAACATGTGCCTGTGAAAAGTCAAAATTTTGGAGAAACCAAGACAGCAAACACAAGGCACTGTAAATTTTTAAAAATCATATTTTCCAAAAAACAAGCCCCAGCGAAAGAAGACTAATTTAAGAACTTATTTCCGACAAAAAAAAGCGATAGGTGCATATTACGTTTTAACTCAAAAATCAAGATGAAAGATAAAAATCACTAAATATCTTCGCATGTGGGCAAATGGGCATGTGTATCGTATTTCAAAATAGAATGTGCGAATTTGTCCGTGAGTGAAGAGATCTGAAGTTCCATGGAATCTGTCAATAGAAAGCAAGACTAAAAATGGCCAAGAAATAGTTCGGGACGACAGATTTATTCAAAACAGTTTTTGATTTGTTGTTATAAATGAAAAACATCGAATTTCTTACCTGTACAAAGCCCACGCGGTAAAGTTCATCATGCTTAGGTCGTTGTTTACTTGCCTTCAAGGCCAGAAATTGCCCAGCATTATGTTGAAAATTCTGAAAAAACTTCAATTTGACGCAAAATCCTCTATTAAACAATACATTTTGAACACATTGTTACTTGAAAATAATATTTATCGGGTCATGGAGTCGTCAAATTGTCGCTAGGCCCAGCTTGAAGTCAGAAAGTTATATTAAAGCAAAACCAGCTGTTAATTTTCCTGAATTGAATTTGAAAAATCAGTAAATGGACAGGCTTGGGTGACAAGATTTGCAAACCACTGGCTCTGGCGAATGAAGAAGGCTGGCTTTTGCTTGCGATGGATTTCCTTTGAGGGGTCATGACAGGACGGAAAATGCATGCACTGTAAGTACCTCCCGTTGTCCCATTCAAAGCCTTAGAAAACTTTTCTAAGGCTTTGTATGGGACAACGGGAGGTACCACAGAGCATGCATTTTCCATCCTGTCATGCATGTTTAAGTAGTGAACTGAACTGAATACATAAATAAAGATCACCTGTGGGTAACAAACCTATTTTAAATTAATATTCAATATTGCAAGCGAGTGTATGAGTTTCCCACCGAAAATGAAAAAAAAGGAATAGGCGTTATCCTAAGAG